CCTGTTGAAGAAGCTTTTGGAAACTGGAAATGCATAACAGCACTAGGTTCTCAAAAAGTGTGAGACCAGCTGCTAACGCTCAGGACACCTGTCATCAGATATCCCTTATTTTCATGAACCAGTGCACTAATAAAATATTTGCTTCTAGATGTTCTTTCCTGAAACAAAAAAGTCCAAGCAAGGGAAGGTGTGTAGCCACTTCAGGATCTTCATGCAAGGCTGGCTGCTTTGCCTATCCAGCCTGCTTGGATGCTGTCTGTAGCTGTGAGAGTAGATATTTGGATCTTTTTGATAGACACTGCTGTTAACAGCTCAGTGACTGCATTATCCGCAAATCTTATGGCCCAGATAGTGCTGGTAGTCAAGTGATCAAGTAGTGCATGAAAAACTAAGCTGCACTAGGCCCCCATGAAAAGAAGCTTCAGCAAGGCACATTCCTGTGCTCGTGGACAGGCTGCAAGGCATGCATTCTCCCTCAGTGCTCTCACCAGGCTGTCAGTTAGGAAGGAAGAAATGAAAAGCTTCTAAGTCTTCATTTCATTAAAAAATGCAGGATTTTTTCCCCATTGTGCTATTATCCCCTTTGATTTTTACCATTTCTGCTGAAGTCTCCCAAAAGGAAATTCTTTGTTGTGATAAGCTTGATACTTGCCCATGGTTTGTATAATTTAAAAATACCATAGGCTATTTTGGGCAGTGATCCTGAAACTCTTCACTTTAATAACTACACAAAGTGTTTTCTAAACCCTTCGAGATTTTTTTGGAAATGTATGTGGAAAATACATTCTTAAAATCTCACTGTCTCTATAAAAGCAGCAGGCAAGATAGGTTCTCTTACTTCTCAGTCTTGTATGTAAACACTTATATGTGCTTAACATTACTCTCATGCCCCATTCCACTGATTTATCAGATTGCATCTCAGCTTGCAAAAGTCAGACTTGAGTGTGTGACAGATGTTAAGCGTGTGTTGGTGGAGTATTTATTGTAGGGAACCAATAGTTTGTGCGCAAGTTGGTAAGCCTGCTTTTACCCTGTTTTGTTAACTTGTCTAACTCTTGTTAACCATAGGTGCTCCCCGGGCTGTTGTAAGATGGGGCTGTTCAATATGTCCGGGCCTGCCTGTACTTGGAAAAGTGGTTTGCATCAACTAGGGCTGTTGCGTGTCTGCTTACTTCTGCTCTTTGCTGGATGAATGTCAGAATTACTGTTCATTGCATTGGCAGGCACCTACAGCACTCAAATTGAATGAGGTGGTAGAAAAATGCCACTGGAAATATCCGTTCAGAGAAGGGAGAATGTGTATAGGACAGCTGCAAAACATTCACCTCTGCTTTCCCTTCCTGCCTGGGCACTGTGTCCTCACGTGAAGTGGTAGAACTGTTCCTGCTGTTGTATAATAAATCAGCAGCTGAGAAGGGTTGATATGTAATTTTCACACCTTGCCACCAGGTTGCTTTATTTGGTCACCCCCAGCCGAAGAAAGAACTGTCAGGGCTCAAGAGGCGCTGGAGCAGGGGTAGGAATGAGTGAGTGGCTGGCAGAGGAGTCAGATTAGTCTCAGTTGGAAGGGACCCACAAGGACCATTGAGTCCAGCTCTTACGTGAATGATATACGAGGGGATCATACCTGCAACTCTGGTGTTATTGGGAGAAAGGCTGGGTTAAGCCAGCCTGGCTACCAAAGAAATGTCTGTGAAACTGCACTTTGAATATATTTTAACAGAAATATTTCCCACACAGCTTTCCACAGCTGCTATTGTGAAACCAGTCAAGTCAGCCATCATCCTGGCAGTTCAAATCCTGGTGCAATCTGTTTTCAAATGTATTAGGCTTTCAGCTTCTGGGGTCTCAGGCAAGTTGGAGCTGTAGTCTGTGAGCTCTGAAAGAGTAGCACTGAGCCAAGCAGGTGGCTGGTCTACACTGTGGCATTGTGGTGGGTTAGTGTGAGGGAGCTGGCTGATGGTAACTGTTGGTGGAAAGCATCAATATTTGCCCAGTGTTTGTAATTTTTGTCAGACTGTGGTGTTCACCCTGGTGAGGAGATGTAAAGCTAGAGAGGGAGCTGGGCTGGCTGCGCTTGATGCCTGACTTGTGGGTGCCTTTGGATTGAGAAGGACTTGAAGCCAGAGCCTGTTGCGGGATGACAAACTCCTGGTAGAGCAGCCTGACTTTCAGGTGCCATTGTTCTAGGCTCTTGGAGAGCCTGGGCTTGGGATGATCATGAGGCTCTGAAGGATCTGTACATACAGACCTGTAGATACAAGACTGGCGTGCTGGCAGTGGTCACCTTCATTTTTGTTTGGGTTGCCTCTGTCCTAAAAACTGCACAGTATCTTCCTCTTGCACGAGGGGCTTTTAATGATAGGCTAAATCTGTACAAGATTTTTTACATTACTTTCTGTTTTTCTTAGTCTCTTTTTTATAACATTACAAAAATTTGTTGCTGGCTTGCCGTGGGTCTTGAGCCCCTGTGCAGACCATTGCTGCAGTCAGAAGGCAGAGGAGAAGTGAGATGGGCTATGCCTGCAGTAAAGGGTGTGGCATCAGAGCATCTGTGGAGCTTAGCTGCACGTTGACCAAAATTTAACCGAGAACTCGGTGTGTATGTGGGCTTTGAAGTCTTGTCACTCAAAGATAATATCTTTGAAACCTCTTGGGTCAGTAGGTTGTGGCCAGCATCTTAGTCTTTGGAACAGGGGCAGTTCTCATTTATTTTTGGATAACACCTATTTCATTGTGGCCTACTCAGGAATGTTAGGAGTATAGTTAAAAAAAGAAAAATAAAATAAAATAAACTCACAAAAAAAACCCCAACCCAAACCACCAAATTTGGGGCTGTGGCTGAATAGTCTAACCAACTTTCTATGGTTTCCATGGCTATTCAGAGTGCTTTAAGAGGTGCGTCTGGAACAAGATGGAAATACTGGTATTTTTCATAAATATTTCTCTATTTATAGGGTATATGCTCAGTATTAGAAACTATCATTAAAGTCTAAGTAATGTGGAAAAGTACATAAATGGCTTACGTATTCTGTTTAAGCATTTGTTGCTTTAAGTAGCAGCTCCAGGGATCCAGGAGTAGAATAGCAGACGTTGTTGGATGTAGATGAGATTTTACTGGCAGAACTCTCTAGCACCTGGTGTAGGAAAATGTTTTTCTCCTTACAAATGCCAAAGCTGCATACCTTTTTACTTCTATACTCTAGCTGTTAATGTTATGTTAAGGCAAACAGTTCAAGTTAAGTGTGGATTCTTTGGATTGGGCTGAAACCAAATCCTTTCATGTTAAAAGGGCGTTTAGTCTTATTTTTTTTGTTGTTGCAGTTCTGAAGTGGGTGAATGATACATTTCTGGTATGCATTTGTTTTGAAATGTTATCCCATTTGTTTGCTGAATCAGTAACTTGCTGTAGCTTCCTTATTTCCTGGACTTGATGGTCTAAAAGTAATGTAATTTCATTACCTATAAAAAAATAAAATTGCCATTTGGCCATTAGAGCCTTCTGTTTTGAAAGTATACTTGCATAATGTGCTTTTGCATAGTATTTTTAATTTCCAGCTTAGGTGCCAAGATGAGCCCATTCTGTTTATTCCCCATATCTGGAGCTCAGTGTTTTGGGGGAGGATTTCTGTTCTGCAGTAGCAGCAGTTTTAGCAGCTGCATGCTTTGAGGCCCCGTCTCCTCTGGCATGGGATCCAGTGGTGAAGTGAGAGAAGAGCAGCATGAGGGCTGGGTTGGACTGTTCCCCTTTTATGTCTTCTGCAGCTGAAGAGCTGCTGTTGAGAAAGGGAAGGGCTGGTATGCCACCCCCTTCCTGGGGGCTCAAGGCATGAAGTATAACCTTGAGTGTTGCAGCGATGGTCATGGCTAGGACGTGATAAACTGGGAGTCTTTTCAGGAGACTTCTTCAAAATTATTTGAGGCTCTTTGAACAACCACTCTGGTTGTGAGATTCTGTGGAGTTGGATGTATGTGTCTGCAGACACACATGAAACCCTCTCCCCTCTATCAGGCAAGTCATTGATGCTGGAAGAGAAAGTGTCCTGGGAGGAAAGCAGTACTTGATGCTTGGGTGCCTGAAGACACATACAACCAGTGACGTTTGCCTGGATGACTCAGATGTGGCACCTGTGGATTTTCAATCTTTTGGCAAGTGTCCACCTTGTACAACTGCTTGCTGAAAGCAGGTCTTCTGAATGTTCCAGTGGCCCCTCCAAAAGCTGAGGAAACAGCAGTGAGAAGCAGCCTTGGTGTGCTGGAGTGCCAGGCTCTGGCAAGACACCATACCTAGCCTCAGGGAGCCCCCGGAAAATGGGGGAGTAGGAGGGTGAGGTTATTCTGGGCTGGCAGCAATGAGACCTGGGAGGGTGGCTCCCTGCCCCTGGCTGCCTGTTGATGACAAAAATCCCTCCTGTGGTCATGGTTGGTCGGTTAGGGACAGACAGGAACCATATGGAGCTGCTGCTTATTGCAAGTAAGGGCCTGTCTATGGAGAGTTGCCTTATGGATATAAGTAAGGCTTACCTTTGTATTTTATATATGACTTTTCTAAAAGGCAGGAAAGGTGAATCCAGGTGCTTTGAAAGTTCAATGGTACTGTTGACAGCAAGAAAACAATGAACCTCAATCTAGATCCCTTTCAGGATTTATTCAGTACCTTTCTCCTTGTTGAATAAGATAATTACATGGGTGTTGCTATGTTTCATGGATTTTTATCTTGGTGGACTCTCAGTTGTTGATAGAAGACTAAAATACACAGGGAAATCTGTTATTCATCCTTAGCAAATCTGGGAGAGCTAGACACTGGTGTGCTTAAAACTAGTGAGTTTTCATAAACAAGACAGTCTGCTTCCACTTAAATGCTGCTCAGCTGGGAGAAGAGGACTTGAGAAATCCTGGAGTCTTGCAGGAAACCTCCCAGCTTCCCTAACTTTTGCAATAGAAACCTTAAGATGGAGGGCTTTGGTGGGTTTTTGACTTTTTTTTGTGTTACTTTTCAGTTGGCCTGCTGCTGTGGTACTGCTGCTTGTTCCTTGTGCTGCAAATGCTGCCCCAAGATAAAACAGTCAACCAGCACCCGCTTCATGTACGCGCTTTACTTCATCCTGGTGACCATCATCTGCTGCGTCATGATGTCTACAACAGTAGCTAATGAAATGAAAACTCACGTAAGTAACGGGGGTATGGTCTCTGCTGCCCCTGGAAGAAAATGGGGCTCCTTCCACAGTTCTGTGTATATAGGGCTGCTCCCTCAGAAGAGGTCATCAATTTCCTCCACCCATCCACTTCTAATCCCAGACGGGATGATTTTCCATGCTCAGTCCTTGATTTTTCCATGCTCAGCCTCTTCCTGTCACCCACTGAGTATGTTTCACAACAGGAAGAGCCTAGCATCCTTCCTCTCTGGTGCAGAAATCCACTGCAGTGAGCCCACCCCAGGTTTGCTGTGCAGGCGTTGTCACAAGAGGGAGAAGCATTAGAGAACTTGTTTTAGTAGAACAAATCAGTTCAGTCTAACATTGATTTTGTCTCTGGCAGCTTGTTTAGCAGCAGAAGCAGTAAATGAGAAAATAACTCTTCAAGTGTTGCGGTTTTAATTCTGCCTTCCTGGTGTGACAGACTACTGCAAAGCACAATGCTGCAGAGTCTCCACAAGGGGTTTTCTTCAGTGTGTTTTGAGTCATTGTGTTCACATGGCCTCTAACCACAGCAAATATTATTCATCTCTAATTGTCTTTTTAATTAGAGAGCTTCAAAAACATGAAAGGAGCTGTGGTTAAAGCTAGATTTTAAAACTCAAGTTTCTTTTAGACTCTTAATATAACTTTCCTAAGCTAAATGCTCACCAGCCTGCTTGTGCTCACACACTGGTCCTGTCGTACCACATATTTGGTTTGGCTTCATAAGCCACCCAAGTAGCACAAATGCTCTCTCTCATCCACTACAAACTACAATAATAAAACTCTGCTTTTAACTAGAGGGAACAAAGGCTGCATTGCTTAATTCTTAAAAATGAAGGTTCTGCACCAGATGCATCATTGGGCCTGCTTTGGGGTCGTGTGTTTTCTTGTAGTGGAAGTTCAGAAGGCTTCCATCAGTGTGAGCATCTTGTTGTTTTGTGCTCCTCTCCCAAGGGAGTGAGGTTGCACAGTGAGGCCTCTTTCCTGAACCAGTTGCTGAAGAAGCTGATGCCCTGGTTACATTCTGCACTTGGCTTTTGGTTGTCTCTGAAACACTTCCCTCCAGATCATCCCAGATGCAGAAGCTGGTGGCAGCACCCCATTCCTGCAACACAGAAGAACCAGCGGGTTTATAGCTGGCTAATTTGAGGGCTTCTGTGCTCTGCTGCCTGTGACCTTTCTTCCCATTGTACCTTCTTTGTATGTTCTGTCCTAATTTCCTTTCATTTAATAGCACTTTGCATGAGTTATCCTAGTGTCACATTTTACCCCTGGCCACCAGAAGTTGATGACCACCCTGTAGGAGCACCCAGTACAGACATGATGCTTGCCTGTGAGCTGTGACTTAAAAACTGTTCAACATGAGCGTGTTGAAATTGCTTGCCAGGAATTACTTTGACTTACTAGATGCTTAGCTTGGCAATAAAGTGAATAACCCAAGGAACTTAAGTGTGTGGGAGACAAATTATGTGCTCATATCCAAATTTCATAAAGTTATTTTCTATCAGTAGTGTGGTTTTAATGCAGTTTGTATCCCTAACAAAAAATACTCTTTATCCAACAGAAAAGTGATTCAAGAAGCCTTCAGCAACATGCTTTTCAGTATTGCCAAATTTATTTTCCAGTTCATAGTCTTGAAAGCTCAGTGTGGGAAGAAATGGCACAAAGAGTAGCTGTTAGTTTGAAGTGGAAAGATAATAATTCTCTTAGTTTAGAGCATTTGATGTCTTTGAATGGGAAATGGACCATCTGAAAGTAGGCTTTCTTTATCTGTTTCTAATTTAATAATTACTTTCAGGGTTATTGAAAGTTCAAAGACCCCTGAAGATAATTCAGCACAGTTTTAATAGAGTGCACCTTGAAAATACTTATTCAGATTAACCAGTCTCAGTTTCTCAGTGATGAGCTGTGTTTTGAAAGTCCTGTGCACTTACTGATTCCTTTGGTTTTGGCTCAGTCATGGAACACTCCCAGCTCCTGAAGCAGACTGTAAGCAAACACTTTGCATGATATTTTGGGACCTCACCCTCCTTTTTTTTTTTTTTTTTTTTTTGAGAAGACAAGCTTTGAATAATTTTAATAAGATTTTTTAAAAAGTCTATGTATTTAGGTAAAGAATTTCAAATTCTACTGCAGTCCTTTTTAGAGCTGTAATCTTGGCAAGGAATCGTGTGTCTCCTTTAGCAGTGTCAAGTTCAAATACTTATGCTGATCTTACGTGGAAGGAATCTCTTTTTTGTCAGTGAGAGGTGTTTTTTTCCTCTTTGGTTGTTTTGCTGTAAGTTCCCAAGTCTATAGTAGTAGATCTCTGGGGAAAGAAGCAAGAGGCAGTGGAGGAATAGGGAAGAAGTTGATGATTATTTGCAGGAAAATTTTGGATAAGTGACTTTTTGTAGGGTTTTTTGCCCTTGCTTTCCCACTTTCCCACATACATTTTCATTCATGCTTCCTTTGTTTCCATAACAAAGTTTGCCTGCCATATTCTCCCTCCTTGGATGAGGACATCCAGGTGAAGGCAGGGTCCTGCAGGGCTGTTTCTACACAGCTCTTCATTCCTGTTCCCCTTGGATGCGTTTTGCCTTGCTCCTGTGTTTGCACCTTTGGGTGCTGACAGACCCCACCAAGGTGGTTCTGTGTGCTTGCAGCTTGCAGTGAGAGGAGAGCAAGTTTGGGGCATCCTGTTTCTGTAGGTACTGCTCAAATGTTCATCATCTCTGAGGGCTTCAGTGCATGCTGGAAAATCGCCAGCTGTGCTGTGATAACATCATTGCTTGCGCAGCAGCTGAGGCGTTTGTGTTACTGGAGCTGATACTGAGTTCTGCAACAAGAATGCTTTGTCCTCTACTTCATGGCCAAAGAATTTAGCTTCTGCAGCTTTTAAAGGTACAAAAATAGCTGTTTTACTGTATCTTGGCAAATAACTAATATGTGACTTAAAGCTATGAAAAATACCCAGCAAATTGTTAGCATGGTAAAGCATATAGGGTAGGCAGTCCTCTCAGCAGCTGAACATGTTTCAGAGATACAGATTGAAAAGAAAGATTAGTCTTTTTTGTCTATCAGTGAGGTCACATAAGCCTTGATAAATTGTTCGCAGCAGTAGACCCATCCTTTCACAAAAACATGGCCTTTTTATTACACCAGTCCTATTGTCCCCAGCATTATGCTTGTGTGTTTTATCTGTTACAGTTTCTAAGAATTTGATTTTACTCTTGTTTTGTTCCTTAGGGACCATTGGTCTCCTAAAAGAGCGTTCAGTCCCATGGGACTGTTTCTGTGGCCATCACTTTTTACTGCCTAGTGTGGTGAATACTGCATGGTGGCTAAACTCTTTGTTGCTTATGTAGGGCAAACTAAGCTATTGTTCTTGTGAATCCATCTATTTACTCTCAGCCAGACGTGTAATGAAGCTAATACTTACAGGAGGAAAGAATGTATAGGTTCAAAAATCCCATCAAGATGTCTGTAGAAACCTATGCAATTAAAGAAGGTGCCTATTTATGGTTACTTAGAGATCTGTTTCTAATTAGCTAGTCAGTTAATCAAGTTCTGTGATATTTTTGTTTTGTTGTGTTTTGTTCTGAATGTCTTGTAAGGAAAGTGAACAGATCTTGTAGAAATCTGTCTCCTTGGTGAGTACTATCATCTATGTCAAACAAATAAGTAATTTTCCCAATATTTTTAGTTCAATATTATGCTGCTTCCTATCCTCTATTGATTGATGGTTATTATAAGCAAAGAACAGAAAAGCATTAACTGATAGCCCAATTGCTTTCTCTGGCATTGTTGTGGCCCCTTGGCTTGCCCTGGCATCACTGTGGCATTGATAGTTCTCATAATTATTCCAGTCAATCCATTTGCTCATTTTGAATGCTGGCATGTTTGCCCAGTCTGACATTTCATTGCTTTCCAGGACCTGGGAAAACTGTTGCTGATGCTCCAGACAGTTTCTCAGGAGCTTTCCAAAAACTCTTGGACACAATTTAGCCACAGCTACTTGTTTAATGTCCAGCTTCTTTATGCAGTGGCTACTAATCACTGAGTTGTTGCTGAAAGAGCAACTCAGAGTGGCCCAGCTTGAATCCATTCTCATAACACCACACAGCTGAGACCAGTTTTCATCTCCTTGGCTGGTCCTAGCCCACTGAGGATCAGCTCCATGTTGTAGTTGGGTTTGCTACCCTTAGCTCAGTGTTGCTGTGAGCTCCTCTTCTTGAGAAACTACTAAGAGGGCTGTTGAGCTCCTGACTGGTTTGGATTCCTGGAATATGGATTGCAGTTGCATACCCTGGTGAGAGAGGGAGGCTTTCAGAGCCTGGTGGGTGGAAGCTGGCAATTTACTTGTTTATCGCTTGTTTCCTGCCTCTCAGAGGATTTTCTACAGCTGGGAATCCTGCCTGATGGCTAGCACCCAGGCCCTGTTATTCTTTCATTGTTACGGCTTTGTGTACTGACCTGCTTGCTGAATGAAGGGGTTTCCTCTGCCATAGCTGCTGATTTGTGCATGTTGTGCCCTGCTACATCTTGGTTTCTCTATCATCCAGTCATCTGTACAGATATCAGCAGTCAGCTCCAGAGGGTTTAATAATGTTGTTCAACTGGTCTTACCAGCCTCAGCTGAAGGCTGTAAGCATACAAGGGAGGCCCTTTCTTCTTTGAAATGGACAGTGGTTTTCTAATTAAATTCCTGTGTTTCTGTGCAGTGAAATGGTTCTTTGGCTGTGAGAGGCAGATGTCTACACAGAGGTGCCTCACAGCAGCAGGCTGTGGCCACACAGACCTGTTTTTTTGAGCACCCAGCATCTTGTTCATGTGGTGAAACTGAAGCCAAAATGTGCAACTGTCTGTTTTCCCCTTTGTGGGGAAAGGCCTCAAAGGCAAATATTTAATGAGTCAAGAGAGGCAGGAATATTCCACCTTTCTGTTAATTTAAAACAAAATCAGGTCAACTGGTACAACTCCCTTTCAGAAGCTGTGATGGAGACCAGGGTGGTTGCTGCCCCTGTGACACTTGGGTGTGCTTCAGTCTGCATTTCCAGCCAGGGCAGCACAAGCCCTTGGTATGTCTCGTGTAAGCTGGATTACTGAAACAAACAGAGTCTTTTGCTGTACAGCGTGGGAAGAAGGGAGACAGTCCCCAGAGTGAGGGAATAAGCAGTAATGGGTGGAAATGGCATGAACCAGGATTGCTGATAGAAGGTGGACTTGTGCCCTGAGGGATCTGTAAAGAGTAGAGTGAAGGCTCTGGAAGACTTCAGTCCCTCATGTTTTAGATATTGTTATATCCCCTGAACCCTGAAATCCAGGCTGAAGAGGTGTCAAAGGTGTTATAAATGAAGCTAGTGAAAAGTCAGTGGTGCATAAACATAGATGTGCTTGGCTACGTGTGCTTTGGGTCCCTTCTAACAGCTTATATATAATCTATTATGCTTTTCAGATTCCTTTCTACAAGCAGATGTGCAAAGGTATTCAGGCGGGTGAGATGTGTGAGAAGTTGGTGGGATACTCTGCGGTGTACAAAGTCTGTTTTGGAATGGCCTGTTTCTTCTTTTTATTCTTCTTGTTCACCATCAAAATTAACAACAGCAAAAGCTGCCGAGCGTACATTCATAATGGGTGAGTTTTTTATTTGATTGCCTGATTTTCACATCACTTTACAAGTTTGTACCATGAACTTTTCATTTGGGTGTAGTAATAGGCAGAAAAAAACCAACCCAAAACCAAAAAAACTTTACTTTGCTCTTATTGTCAGAAATAATGTGGTCAAGTGAAAACTAAGTATAATGGTAATCACTCATCAAAGGATGTTTTTTTTTTTCTGGTTATGCTTTAAATAGAGATTTCCTGTGGTACTAAAATTGAAAATCTGTAATTCCTATTACAACCAGATGGTTTGGATTTTTTTTTCCTCTCATACAGATTCTGGCTTATTAAACTTATAGTTCTGGCAGCGATGTGCTCAGGAGCCTTCTTCATTCCTGATCAAGACACTTTCCTCAATGGTATGTCCTCTTGTTTTGTTATGCTTCTTCTTTGTCTACTCTCTTTTAAGTGGTTAGAAATCCAAGAGGTCTGATCAACATGAGTATTGCCTTGTTTCTTCAAGTAAAGCCTTTACAGGCCAGATGCAAAAATAGTATTTGAAACTGTTTGGGGGGAACACTGTATGTGCAAACTATGTGGTCTTCATGTGAATGTGCAGGAAACAGCATGTTTTTTTCTGACCAAGAGCAGGCCAGAGTGGTAGGTAATGAGACCACTGCAGCAATTCTTAAATAATTCTTGCCAGTTCATTAAGAAATATGGAACTATAATGGTGCAGAAGGAATTGTTCACTCAAGAACAGAGCTGCATATTAGTTTGGCTTGTGCAGGTAGCTCTGGCATAGTGCAGCAGTCAGGCTGCACAGTGGAGAGGTGCCAGTACTCCAGGAGGCACAGTAACCTGCTGGACACTGCTGTTTGCTGCCTGGAAACTTGCAATGCCCCAAAAGAATTTGGGATGTTAATTTTCAGGTTGGGGCGTACATCCAGTAAGGTAAAATTAGAGTTCTTGGGCCCTGGGATATGTGCTCTGAGGAGGATGCCATGTCAGAATCATTTCCTATTTTGGAAGGAATGCTGGCACAGCACAGGCATGCTCATACTAGCTCAGTACTGAAGTGCCAGCTAGGAGGGGAGTGTATCACAGGAGTCTTGTGGCCTAGGAACAAAAATCCTGGTGATACCAAGATGAGTTTGTTCTCTCACACTTGTACATAAGTACATCTTACAGGTATTTATTTGTAAGCCCTTAAGCTGTTGGATCTGGACAGGTGAAAAGGGATGGGATCAGTAAAGCAAAAGAGCAGTTGTGTGTGCTGCCTGCTACCACTAAGACAAAGACCGGTTACCTTGTTCTCAACTCCCACCTGCTCTAGCCAGGGTGTTTAAAAGGGCAGGTGGAAGAAGTAACATGGGGAAGAGAATAGAGACAGACCATGAGCACAGTACTCTGGGAAACTAAAGTAAAAACCACTACAAGTAAACCACTGACAGGTATAATGAATAGTCTTGCTCTTGCTGTCTGTTTGTTTGGTCCTGGCTCAGTTTGAGGCCCCTCTTTCATCTACTCTGTGAAGCTGTGGGATGGCTACATGTATTTGTCCTTAGGACCCACTCTGTTTGGATTAGCCGTAGTAGTACAATGCCTTGTACTTGTGGGCAGGTGAGACTGCCTGTCATCTTTGCAAGTGACCCTTTTCATGGTGAAACCTCTTGAAGAACTGATGTGTTTGCAGAAAAGGAGAAACAGAATTTTTGGTGCTGATTCTCAACATGAGTCTAATGTCGTCTGGAGATACAGCATAACAAGCCCAAACCAGCTCGTGACTTTTCACTCTAAAGCTGTATTCTACAACTCCCACCAAACTGACCTCTAGTCTGCCCCTAAAACTGAGATTTACAGATGGTTTGGGTATAGTATGTTTGGGGGGTTTTCTCCCCTCCTTTCATGAAACTTACACTGTCTTTTAGTTGGTTGGTTGGTTTTGGTTTTTTTAGAGGGAGGGGTCATTCTCCCAACTGCTTTTTTTTTTCTTCTTTGAAAAATAAAATCTCTTACCATGTTTCCCAAGTGATTTGTTAATCATGGAGAAGGAAGATTATGTGCGAGCAGTAGGTTTGTGTGGTTTGTAGTGTTAAATTCACACTGGCTATGCTGACCTTATCTGTGATTGATGCCTAAATGTCCTGCAGTATACTGTGGCAGAGGACGATCATGAGAGTCTGTTTAATTATTCACTCCATTGATGGTCTGACTTTTCCTTCTCCCCCTCTCCCAAATACACACGCTGCTTTGTGCCCTGCCTTTCTTTTATGTACTTTTTAACAGAATAACTTAATTCCCTTTTTTTTTTGTATGTTTGAAGAATAGAATGCTTGTCAAGTGTATACAATATATTTAGAAAACCAGACAATTACATTTTTGCTTGCTTTTAAACAATGAACTTATGATAGAGTAAGGCAAAAAAAATAACCTCTACATCAGCTGCTAATGGAAATGAGCCCTGCCTGTTCTGTTCTTCCACTTAACTTACACATGCTTTTTTCAAAAGGAAAGCACAATAGAAGGATATGGCTGAATTTTGCTGATGCACTTCCTTGGTCTTTTCTTCACTGAAATCAGCTGCACACCTGGAGTAATTTGTAGGCTGTGTACTGCATAGCAGCACAAACTGTATGTACAGCTAAAAATTAAAATAGGTATCTGTATTTCCTCAGACACTTCTGATGTTGCTTTTAAGAAATTTGTTGTCCAAAACATCCAAGCAGCTACCCAAATACGGGATATGTATGTAGGTCAACAGTTAAGTACCCAAATAACCTGTCTTAAAACCAGTCAGTGAATATTCAGTGTTCCTTGGGAGTGGCATGGAACAGCATCTGTGAATAGATAAACCCCACCTTTGTTTTTCTGTGGTACTGGAATCTGGAGGAGAAGAAATTGCCCTGTTTAGTAATGATTGGGTTCCAGTACCTTGCAATTTCAGGATTTAGATTCCTGTGGAATGCTTCGCACCACCTTCCTCCTGCCAGTCACAAATAAAGGTTTCAGTATTTTCTGTCTGAATATAGTAACTCATAGTCTCCACAGAAATTTTCTAAGTTAGGGAGACTCAGTAGCTGTCCTAACATGATTATATTGAAAGTGTAGCAGGTTATAAGCTGAATTCATCAGGGAGCTAATATTGAGTTAACTGAGCTCGCCTGTCATCTGAAATCTCTCATCTCCTGCTACATTTGTGAGCTTCAGATGTTCAAACCACATTACCAGCTTCACTGCATAGACAATAAATCCATTTTATCTCAAGGGAAAGGCGTTTGACCTATTTTCTGCCTCTCTGCCTTGCAGCCTGGCGCTATGTGGGAGCAACAGGAGGGTTCCTTTTCATTGCCATTCAGCTCATCCTGCTGGTTGAGTTCGCACACAAATGGAATAAAAATTGGTATGTGTTGGGCAAGTAGTTGCTTAAAATTCTGGTGGACTCCTGGCCAATACTTTTCTTGTAATAAAGAATGTAAAAGTATCTTGGATGTAATTTTTGAAAGAAGACACGTGAATGTCACTATTCAGGGCTGTTCATATTTGTTTCATCTACTTTCTCCTTCCCCAGCATAAATGTTTCCTCATTGCTCTCTTTTACTTTGCTGATTTATTCTTAACCTGAGCTTCTTGGCTTCCATTAAGTAGTAGTGCCTTAGGACACAAAAATTTCTTACTTTAGGTTATTTTTTATGAAAATACATCTGCTAAGTAGAGTGGTGCAAGAGAATAAAACTGGATTTGCAAAATGTGGTAGTGAAACTGTTTGCAATGTTGTGAACTGATAAATCCTGGTTTTTCTATATCAGCTTAATGCATGTCAATTTTTTTTCTTAAATTAAGAACTGCTATTTTGTGTTCAGCTTCTTTCTTGTCATCTAAATATGCAAGATTCCATTATTGACCTGGATGTACACTATTTGGGCATTGACTTAATTTTTGGTTCAAGTATATTTTCTATTACTATCCTAGCCCTTCACTTTTCATTAAATTAAAATATTTAAGTTGTTCTCCCACGTGTATTCTCCTGCCGCCATCTCTACCCTTTCTGTCTCACATTTCCTTCTCTACAAATTCTTACAGCTCTTTCTTGTTCTAATTAAAGTATTACCTGCTAAGAAAGATTTTAGCAAACCTTCAGCTTTGTTAAATTCCTGTTTCAGGGAGGAAGAGGTGAGAATTCCTTACACCACAGATATTTTTAGTGCTAGTTACTGTAGCTGATTTTTGAGGATGAAAGACTTCCAGTACCAGCATTTAACTTTAGCTTTCTTTACATTAGATATTCTTTTAAAATATGTTTCCACAAAACAATTGGGGAAAAAAACCAAACTACTGAAGAGACTTTCCATCTACAAAACAGCCCATTGTTTCAAAATAACTGTTTTAGTTGCTTCTTTTGAACCCTGATGGGCTTTGCAAGAAATGTTTGGAAGGTGAAGAAAGGAGAATGAGATGGGCCACTCTTTAGCTGAGGGAACAGGTGGTTAGACCCAAATAGAGAGGAGGCTTTTTGAGTGAAAGAGTAGTAAAACTTTCAAGGTAGTACAAGGGGCAGAAGAGAGGCCATGCCAAGCAATAAACTTGTGGTTTCATTGTGTGGAGAGCACCACTTGCTAGCCCAGCCTGGGACACTTGGAGTTGCAGCTGAGGAAACCCCTGAAGTATTGAGCTGAGATATGCTGATGGGCTGATCCCAGAGTACTCCTGGGAGTTCTAAGAGTCAGCACGGGGCTATAATTACAGAAGGAGCTGATTGTGACAGTACAGAAGATAAACATTGATGCTAAGGAATGTTTCCTTCTGTTTCATGGTTAGGAACCTTGCAAGAGTCTGTGCTGGCATAGTGATGTATGCATGCTTTGGGAAAGTAAACGCTGTCTTTTATGTTTGAGAATATGAACTCTTCAGCTGTTAGAATTTTATGTTCTGGGCAAGGGAAGACAAAGATAAGAATGCTTGTCTCTCTTTCGCAGGACTGCAGGTGCAAACCACAAGCAGATGTGGAATGGTTTGCTTGCCTTGGTCACTCTCATCCTGTACTCCATTGCGGTGGCTGCTCTGGTCCTCATGGCTCTCTTCTACACGCGCGCAGAGGGCTGCATGTACAACAAGGTCCTGATTGGAGTGAATGGTGGCCTCTGCCTCTTTGTGTCCCTGGTGGCCATATCACCCTGTGTCCAGAACCGTGAGTCCATTGACCTGTTCTCCTCCTGGATTTTTGGTGCTGCCACAGTTACGTGCCTGAAAGCCTGGGCAGAAAGTCTAAAGATGGTTCAGGATTGGTACTGCTCTTGACTCTTTTCCTGAAGGCCCACCTGCTGATGGCTGTCACTGTTGTAAGATTTACCTAAGTCTGGCAGTGGTAGATCTCAAACTCACGACTGTTTTACGACTTACTTTTGACTTCTTGGGATTTATAATTTGTAAAGTTTGGGCCTGGTGGAGTTGCTGGCAGTATTTTATACTCTGTGTGCTGTTAGTATCTTGCATGCATTGGGCCTGAAAACAGTAGAGTGACTCCAACACAGATTTTACAGGGAAATAAAATTATTGTGGCAGCTTGTCAATAGGTTTTGAAAAGCTGCTGCGTTTGGCAAAAGCACAGAGGTTATTCTTTACTTACACGGGAATCTCTAATGCTTTTCTAAAACAGCCCACAGAACTAAAGGATAGACTTTTTTCTCTTTATGGGACAGTGGAACTGTATCTAGACTGCCTCAAACACTTACTAACTGCCTTAAGTAAAAAATAAAATATAGTGGTGTGCTGTTCTTTAAAGGATATAAATTTATTTTTCAGATTGCTAAAGTGTCTATAAAAATAACTAATTTTCCTCTTTCTTGTAAAGGCCAGCCCCATTCTGGCTTGCTGCAGTCAGGAGTTATCAGCTGCTATGTCATGTACCTCACTTTCTCAGCACTATCCAGCAAACCACCAGAAACCAGTAAGTTATCTAATGCTTTATGTAAACTATTTTAAACACGCTGTGTATTAAAAGCAAGAATTTAGCAAACCTGGACTAAGTGACTCAGGGATATAGAAATGCTGGGTTTGATCTTCACAGAAAAAATTGCAAATGGTACAAATAAATCTGTGCAGCCAAGAGACTGTGCAATTGGCACTCTCCATGTGTGTTAAATGCTTTGGTCTAGGGGTGCTTAATTTACGTTAGGTGAGTTGAATCTGTTGCACCAATTCCTATTTCCTGTTAACAAATTTCCCAAAGTCTTGTAGTCTATATCTCCCATGACAAGTACACGTTCTCATAAAACAGGACATGACAAAATGCATAATGTGTTAGGTCACATGATAGGAAAGTATTGGAGCAAATGGCTCCTGGATTCCTCTGGAAGAAGCTGGGTGATCAGCTCCATCCGAAAGTTTACAAGGTCCGGTTGGTAGGTGCTGGCCATCAAAGTGGATACTAATATGACACTTTTTTTCTCTCAGAATTAGTCTGCTAGGTAGGCTGTCTTGGTTTGAAAGACAGGTATCTGCCAAAATAGACAGGGGCCTCTTTTTTTGAAAAGGAGAGTACAACCCCGCCCCCCTTCACTCTACTATAATTTTGAAATTAAAGGGCTCTTAGGCAAAGATATGGGGGTAGGAGTAACAGTTTTTTACTGAGATAGATAGATAGATATAACAAGGGAAACAAAGCACAGCAACAATAACTGCGAGATCAACAGCAGCAGAGCAGAAAACCCAGTGAAACAGTTCTCTTGGCTGTGAACACCTTTCCTGTGCGGTGCAGTCTCCGTTCTGGCGCTGCCTGCCAGCCCCGGTGAGCAGGGAGGAGATGCGGGGATCCCACGGGGCTGGAGGGCCCTGCGGTGAACGGCGCCTGTGTCCCACATGGGAAGGGCGGAGGGGAGACGCTGCTCACAGGTCCCAGGGCAGTGTCAGTCCTGATGCTCCAAAAGGATGTGCTGGAGTCAGTAGGAGATGCGGGAGAGCGTTTGAGTAGGGAGGTTGTGGGATCCCACAGCCCAGGAAGGCAGCTCCGGGGTCAGCGTGGCAGAGTGGGGTTTTTAAGCGACCGTCCTTCTCCGAGCCAGACGGCCGAGAGAACCAGAGAGCAGCCCCTACCCCCCGCTCCTTTTCCAGTATTGCCCCTTCTCCTCCCCTCTTGGAGAGAAACTGTTAACTTAGCTATCTGAGCTTCTGGGTGTAGCTCCCAATACTTAGCATAACAACGGGAAGAATTCCACAGAAAGAAAAGGGGAAAATTCAACCCCCAACATAGGCCTAGACTCCTAATGAAGCAAAAATTTGAGTACCACTTGTATTTTGTTTCGAGAGGAAATATTCCAAGAAAGAACTTGGAGTTATGTCTCGGAGTTATGATGCAGCTGAGATGATGCTGTTCTTCAGCAGAGTTCTTGAACTCCACTTGCCTTTCAGCTACCAGTATTCCAATTCAGGAGTATGGAACTCACTAGAGTTTTAAGTTCTTTACACTACAAAACCAGAGCAAGACTTCAGAGCACAATTCAAACTTTCCTTTACCTAAATAAATGTCAGATTCCTATGTTTGCATTGGAAGCATTCTTTTCACTAGCAAAGGGGAAAGATAGTTTGAATGAGTACCAAAACACCCTTTCTTCATTATTTCCCAACTTTTAGTGTTCAACAGCTGAAACAATAACTAGAGGGAAATAAGTTCAATGACAGGAAGGAAAAGTTTATACGGACAACACCTCTCAAGAAGAAAGGGGAGAGATGAGGGAAAAAAATATGTCATAGTTATGTAGGTACAGATATACATACAAGAGTTTTCTAAAGTTAGGAAGCAAACCAGACAGTATTTAGGTATAAAATTTACTTATGGAACTTTAGCAGTGTTTTGAATTAACACAAAATTGAATTTAGAAGTCCCGAGTTCATCTGAGTTACTCAAAAGTCTTGCCACAGTGTGAAAAGAAAAAGGGGAAGAAAATGATAGGTGGAATTAAATCATTTGCCTTATGTTGCTTCATGCTTGTCACAAAGTCTTCAGCAGTTAAGTGAATGTTCTAATTCTTCTTGTATATATTGCAAGTGTAGTTATTGCATTTGTTAGAATATGCGTCAAGTACACTCTTAGACCTCCTTGTCTTCCCATGCCTGAGAATTTTCATGGTTGTCATCTGCTCTCAGAGATGCTCCTTCCTTGCATGTCTGTTTGATAAGGATTCCACGTTTGCTTGTCAGCTTTCACAGTGCCATATGCTAGAGAATGTATGAGGTGCTGGCACTTACTATGATGTCCCAGGCCCTGTAACTCAGGTTTGCCATGAACTTACCTAACATTGACTCATTTGTCAAACAGGGATTTCCAAATGGCACATCTTGCATACAAGGCCTGAAAAAAATGCAAGTTACAAGTATTTGCAACACCCTAAAAGAGTTGCATATGTCTTTAGAAAGAATGGGCGAACAGAAAGTGATGTTCCTTGAATCTGTGCTAATTACAGCCTACCTTAGCTTTTTGGTGCCAGAGTTGGCTAAAACACATGCCAAACTGTGGACCCGCCTGGCTGCAAATATGTCGTTAATGGACACAGGTGGGGGGAATATGCACATCTCTGGCCGAGGCGTTCTGTAGAGGCTGGTCATCATTTTGTTTGCTCCCCCCTTGGCGCTGTCCCTGCTGTGTGCTGATAAAGCTGTTTTTGCAGGGCCGTACAAAGTCCTCTGCCACCAGGTCAGGGTTCATGACTTTGAGTTCATTTTTAACCTGGATGTAGTCTTTGCTGCGTTTTTCCCTCTGCTACTACAAATAGTTGTGCTGCCTCAATAGGGATGCATTGTGGTTGCTGGAGGGAAAAAGGAAATGCCTTGAGCAGCATTGACTCAAAAAGCTCTTGGTTTGATATTAAGTTGCAGCTGTCACCTCTTACTTTGGGGTGATGCTGCAGGCTGCTCTATGCCTTGCTTTGACTCCAGGGAGATAATAAAAAGCCAGATGCAACTTGCAACATCAAGGACTGGATTGATTTCATTTTAGGAACCTAGAAGTAGGATTTCTTACATTGCAAGACAAAAATTTGCCTGTAACTGGTGCATCTTTTTTTTACTTGGTCTTCTGAGAGTCACTCTGAGAACAGGGCAACTACTGACCACTTTTTTTTTACTGTATGGATTTCATAGTTGTCCTCAAGGCACCTTTGCTGTCAAAGAAATTTCTGGTCTGAGGTTTGTACTATCTTGGTCTTATATGATTTTGTAGCCTTGGGTGAAGTGCTGACAGACTTCCAACTTCCTATTTCTTAGTTCACAAAACAGTCTTGGTTTTTTTCCTTGTTTGTCTGTTGTGGTCAAACAGGAAATTTTAGTACCCTACTAAGTTGCATTTTTGTTTTGTCTGAAACACCGAATGGATCAGGTCAGATTTGCCCTTTTTTGTCTCTCTGATCTTTCTAAAAGATAGAAAGAAACAACTGAAATTTACCTACCTACTGCCAGATATAAAATTCAGTGAAAGCCTTCAGTCTGAAGATTACTTTAAAATGCAATGAAATGAGCTCTGAAAACTGTTCTTTTTGTTTGTAATGTGTTGTGAAGTCCTGGATGAAAACAACCGGAATATCACAATCTGTGTACCTGAATTCAGCCAAGGCCTGCACAGAGATGAAAACCTTGTTACTGGCTTGGGTACCACGATTCTGTTTGGCTGCATTTTATATTCTTGGTAAGTCTGGGAGTTTGCCATTACCTTTCTGTAAATGTAATGTTGTGGTCCAAAGAGTGAAAGCTTATGGCAGGCCTCATGAAAAGTCACAGAGAGTTGTGGAATAAAGCTAAGCTGGAAGGTTCATATTGTCCTCGAATTTTAGACGTTCTAGCTAAAAAGACAACTTTTGAACCAAATATATCTCATTAAAATCAAATAAAGCAATTTAGATCTAGACACAGAGGGAAAAAATTTCTACCTGTCAATGACTGACCTTGAAGGTCTTTAGAACAAGCAAACTGTTTGGGAGGGTTTAGGGCTTCCTCTGAACAAATGATGAGCACAGTATTGCCATCAGGATTTGCCAGTGATCTGCTCTAAGAAAAACCCTTCTTGTCCCCGTGATGCTTGCCTTTGATGCTCGTCTTGTATAATTGCAGCTCACTTCAATAAATTATGCTCTGGGACAAGGAGTTACTAGTGATTGAAAGGTAATGTGTCATTTATTTTGGCTGTGCAGCTTGCCAGGAGACAGCACTGCCTGTCTGCTGCAGGTTTTTGAGCAGGTTCTGCTTCTGAATCGGTCCACTTCAAAAATCACATACAGAAACCCCTTAATATTTTTGTGAAGGGAAAACAAGAAACTTCTGTTTATCAAATATGTGTACGTGTTCAGTTTCGTTCTGATATAAAATACATAAATATGGATATCATGGATCTAGTTCACATTAGAAGGGCACTTCCAGTGCCTCAGGAAGGTGTTTCAGGTGTCACACAGACAATATTCATGTAGCCTGCCACTGAACTGTACCATGTAGCTGGGGAGGTAAGAATACCTTCAAGGGGAGTGTTTTGAAGCATTGCTTGCAAGGCTCAGTGTGTACACCAAAGCCTTCCTGTGGGTAATGGGAAGTTGGCATTTCACATCTTAAAGGGCAGGACTGGACAAGAAGAAAGGGTTCTCCCCTGGATAAGTACAGTCATGCAAGGAAGTAATTTCTAGGAACTGGTACACTGACAACAGTTGCTGGTAATTTACTTTTGAAAACTGGCTGCTGCCAGAGACCTGTGAGTTTGCTGGCAAAGCCTTTACACAAGTGCTGAGCCAAAGTGATGGCTAGGAACTGTGAATTGAGTATAAAATTACTGGTTGTGCACAGCAGGGGAGATCTCTTCCTGCTTGCAAATTGGAGCACTTAGATTTTGCTGCTGTCAGATGGTGGTGAATTCATCACCTTTCTGGAGTGACCTATTTTTAAGCTCATGATTCAGTCTGAGCTGGCCAACGGCCATCTGCCAGACTGGTTTATACCTAGTGCAGGACAAACCTTTCACATACTTAGTCCTTGATGATAGTATCCAGGCAAATGATTAGCTGAGACATTGGAGTAGACTATTTATGTTTGCTGTGATGTTGAAAAATTATCCTGTTGGAGCTGTAGTTATGCCCAGGGGTTTGACACTGTCATCTTTTCCTCCTAGTTTGACCTCAACAACACGTGCAAGCTCAGAGGCACTGCGAGGAATATATGCAACAGCTGAAACTGAAGTAAGTTCTTGCCTCTTCACACAGGATTTTTGTGCAGACTTTTTCTCATGCTTTTATTGCTGTTGTTTTTGTGGCCAGTAATCTGAAAACAGAAGCTGTTCTCAGTAGCATGTATGCTATGTGCCTCTGGGTATGGACTCATCAGAACATTTGTCCACACTGGCCCTTCTGTAGGTCTTGCTAGTCTTCTGGAGATGCCTCTAAGTACTGAAACTATTTGCTGCTCTTGAAGTTTATTCAGCATCCTGCAGACTTCCTGTAAATCTTATGTTTGACATGAGCTCGTGTCCTCTGATTTAAGGGAAAAGTGTGCTGGAAAGCTACCAGAAGAAAACGTGGAGGCATTCCTAAACATTTTCAGTCCTGGTTGCCTTTGTTCTCAAAGAAACTAAGATCCTAAGTTCTTATCTTTTATTTTTATTTCCATACATAAGTAGTTCCTTTCTTTTTGCCTATAATTTAAGCTCTGATCATATTTCTTGTCCCTGTTTCAGCTGCGTAAGTTTCTTTGTTCCATCTACCTGTTTCATTGGCTTTCTTGTCTTAGAGCACTCGGAAAACTCTGAGAAATGGATGGGTTTTGCTAGGTAACAGTTTCTCCTTGCTTAGGCTTGCTAGTGATGCTCTTCAAATAGGTGTGTGTGTTTGGGAGCTGTCTCTGCATTGGTGTTACTTGCACCTGCAGTTTTAGCTTGTATTTTTTAAGTCTTTAATCAGAGTCTGAGAGTTTAAAACCACAGAGGTATCTGCTGAGGCCCTTGGTGTTTGCAGTAGCTGGGCATGGGAAAGCACAACACGTTCCAGTGTGGGAGTGCTAGGCTGCTGAGGCGCTTCCCTGCGGCAGGATGCTGTAACTGGACAGGGTGCCAGCCCAGTCCCTGCTGCCAGCCGGGCATGGATTACTGAGGCTGGGCATGGAGCACCCAGACGGGGCAAGGAGCGCCGAGGCTGGGCATGGCCTGGCTCGGGCAGGTCCTGATGGGGCCTGTGTTTTCCTGCCGTGTGCTGAGGGACATGACAGGGAGCACTGGGGAGGGAACAGCCACCTTTTGTGCTCTGCACCTCCTCTGCCAGCTGTGCAGAGCCTGTGGAGGCCTCACCAGAGGTGCGGGTCTGTGCCCTGTGGAGGAGCAGCGGGAAGGCTGGGACCTATGGCCCGGCATGGACTTGGGATATGGCCCCTCATCGGGAAGGTCCATCTCCACAGCCAGAGTACTTGCTCACTGGATTAGTTCTGGACTGTTGGGTTTGAAAGAGTGTACAAGAGCCACTAAATGTAAAGATAAAGAAAGGACTGGTGAAAAGTGACTAATTGCGCTCTGATTGCGGTCTGTGTGGCAAAAGGCCTTTGTCTCCCAGCCCACAGAGGGTCTGCCCACTGTGCTGGAGGCAGCTGAGTGTTAGGGGTCAGGCGGGTGTGCCAGCTGTGCTAATTTCATTACTCTGTGTGTGTCAGAACTTAAATACAGCTGGTCAAAATGTTGAAGGGAGCCCATTGCTTGCTTCAGAATGTGAGTGCAGCCTCAGCATAACTCAGGCTGGCACTGCAGGTGAGGCTTGGCACAACAAGAGTAGAAAGAGGTAGAGAATAAGGGTTTTATTGAAAGTGTCAAAACAGTCTTTTGAAAAAGAATGAGTTTTTTGGCTTTTTCCTGAGTTTATGAACCCAATGAGTACAGATAATCAAGGATATACAGGGTATACCTGCCACTTGATGTTTATGCTGGACGTTTACCTTAAAGACTTTCTGTCTGGGAAAATTTGCAAACAGTCCCTGTAAGAGGAGATAAGCTAAAACATAAAATTTAGAAGTGCAAAGCATAAATATTTATCCATGTGTATGTGTGTCCCAACCAAACTGGGGCACCCCAAGTGTGATTTTACACAAGGGTCTTCTACTCTTCAGGCATTCAGATGCAGCATGATTTGACTAATCACTGGCGCCCACACCATCATTACTCATAATAAAACTGTATTTCTGCAGCAGTCTTGCTGCTCATCTGTAGACATCCTTTAAGTCAGTCTTGAGACAGCTACTTATCTGTGATGCTAGTATGGTTTCAAAGGTGTTTTAAAGGTTCTATGATGCTGGCCTTACCTTAGCTGTCCAGGTCCATGTTTTATCCTTTATGGACAGCTCTAAGTTTCCAAGAAGCAACGTCCTTATTTCCAGGACTGGGCTGTCCTTTAGTTTGTTTTACTTAAGTGTGAACAATACCAAAGTCTCCAGTAAAATTCCAGTGCCTTATTACATTGCACAGTATACTGTGAACTAATACAAGTAAACAAAGTTAGTACACTTTCATACTATAAAGACTGATTGATGTAATAGTGAAGGAAGTTTTCCTAACAGGGTTCATTATCTTAATCAGACCACAAGCAAAAGAAATCCCAGAGAAGGATATTACCAGTACAGGTAATATTTGTGATGTAGTACAGAAAGTACTGACTTTTACTATAATCTGGTGCAGGAAATAGATTTATATTCGTTTATTGAATGGTCAACTTCTTCATTTATATTACCATTTAACATAGAAAGTGTCAATTACAGCTTTTCCTTCTCGACCAGGTTAAAAAAAAAAAGGAAATCTTCATTTAAATAAAATAGTAAAACCAGGTTCCTGCTTTTACTCATTCTTCTTGTGCTCATTCTGGCTCCATTTCAGCAAAATCTTGCAAAGAGAAGTACATTTCTGACTTACACTGGTACAGCTGTGGTTTCCAACCCATGCATCAGAGCTTAAAAATTCCTTATACTTTCATCTTATACAGGAATGTCCTGAAAAGCAGTTGTATGCACATCTAAATAAAAAATATGTATGTGCTTTATTGTTGCTCTTCCACCATATTGTCATAATTATTTGCATTTGTGTTGGACCTAGAGTTATGCAAAATCAGTAGAGTAATTTTCAAAGACTGGCTCATTTCTTCAGATTTACTGAGCAAGTTTTTCCAAGTTTTTTTAGTTTCTAAGTTTTGGAAACTGCTGTTCTGAGCTACTGGGCAATTCTTAATTTGGGTTTTGTGCCGGTTGGAAATACAAACCAGACTTTTCTAAATTAGTGTCTGCAGTTTAGACCTTCCTTCCCCAGCTGTTCTGCTTTGCTGTAGCACAGGTTCTTATCCCCTTCCTGTTTTCTGTTCCATAGGTTGCTCGTTGCTGCTTTTGCTGTGTACCTGATGGAGACGGTAATTATGTTTTCACTGCACCATTTACCTTATTTGGGACTTTTGGACCAAAGCTGAGAGAGTTAGGACACAGCTATGGAGGGAGAGTTGCTTGTACCCTCATTCAATAGGTTACTGAATGCAAACTGAAGCAGATGAAATGCTCCAGGTTAGGCTACAGAGGGAAGCAAGAGATGTCACAACACCGTTTCAAAAGTACTAGGCTAGTTAATAATTCTTTAAAGTACATTTCATCCTACAACATACAACAAGTAATCTCTGGTCTTTGCATGCCTGTGGGCGTAACTGGCTGCTGGGCTTCTGGCTCAGCAGCTCTGCAGGTACTGCAGTTCGGGAGTGAGATAAAAAGGGAGTGTCCTGTTTGCAGACGTGTGGAATCAAGATTATCAGCTTAGACTTGCCAGAAAATTATTGCACAGGTAGAGCAATTTAAATGCTCTCAACTCTCAAAATCTACTCAGTAAAACAGGAAGCTGTTACAAGGCAAAATTGCAATTTTTGGCTCAGGGTTTAGGCCCATGCCCTGAGGAAGAAGAAATGTTCAAGTGTTACTCTGTTTCAATCACGCTTTCCCAAATCACACCGTAAGTGTTTTGCTGTGTTCTCTGTGAAGCCAGCTGCTGTTTTCAGTTCTCATTGCATTTGCAAAGCTTTGTTGTTTCCCGTCTCTTACAGCTGATGCTGAAGAGCATGTTGAAAAAAGGGGAGGCCAGACTGTGGTTTATGATGAGAAGAAGGGCACAGTGTACAGTTATGCCTATTTCCACTTCGTTTTCTTCCTGGCTTCTCTCTATGTGATGATGACAGTAACCCATTGGTTCCAGTAAGTGTATTTCTTTCATGTATTTAATGCCAAGAAATTAATGTCTCTCTGTGTTGAGAGGGAAGATGTGAACAGGAAGTTCTGCTGTTTGGGTATTTCCTATCCTTATGGTAGAAGTTTGAAGAGACATTGCAAATCTTTCTTGGGCATTCTTGAGATCTTTCTCTGTAAAGGGCTGCTCTCCCTTGCTTCCTCTATGGGTTAACCTAGTTAAGATTTTTATGTCTTTTTTTTTTTTTTTTTTTTCCCTTAACAGTTACGAAAGTGCTCAGATTGAAAAATTCTTCACTGGAACCTGGTCTATCTTCTGGATTAAGATGGTCTCCTGTTGGGTTTGTGTCTGTCTATACTTATGGACTCTTATTGCTCCACTCTGTTGCCCAACCAGAGAGTTCTCAGTGTGAACAGTTAAATCGTAATTTTAAGTTTCTCTCTTTTATTTTTTTTTTTGGAATGAGGAAACACCTGTTACCCACTTATCATAATGTACCAATTACTATCTTTTAGTCAGACTAAACAAATGATTGAAGACTTTTTTCACCATTTTTTATTATCATGAACAAACATTGCCTAGGGGAACAAATCTGTTTCAAAACTTTACAACACTTATGTGTGGTGTGTAGAAAACACAGTTCTTACATAATGCATAAACTGAAATAAGTGAAATACTCTTCAAATAACTGACAATCCTTCTCTGGCTTCATCGACAAGAAAAGAAAAACTCATGGTGCAGATGGTATCTTCTTACTTCCCATGAATGTTTCCAGCAAATATGCATTCATTCCTTTTTATACTCTTTCATTAACTGTTTCTTTTACAGTTTGCAGTGATGATTTGGACTGCTGTTTTGTACAGCATATAATTCTTGTAAGTAGTATCCAGATAATTTTTTTCCAAAAACATATCTAAGTACTTCTGTAGAAATAAGAGAATATATAAAATTTGACTGCCAAAGCATCTACTAAAAATTGTTTATCTAAGTATTAAATATATTAAGTTATTTTATACCTAGATTGAGAAAGGAATGTACCAATGATAGTATTTATTCTATTATTACTTTAAAGGCACCTGGATATTTTATGCAATTCAGATTTAGCCCAGTTAAAAACTGAAGGGGAATTCTACACACGAATTCTTAAATTGAATTTTGTCCAATTTTGCTTTGCCAGGTCGCTCAAAAATTGAGTGTACTGCATGGGGATGTAAGATAAGGTACATTCTTTATTCACATTGTTAGCTGTTGAGAAAATAATAGTTATAGGAGCAGTGCCAGTTGCTGTTAAATTTAAAAGAGGGGTGCTCATTTACTTTTGTGCTCTGTTGTTTCAGCTTCTGTCTAAAGGTCTCCGTGGTCTTCAGTTCTGTTTCCGTGACTAGTTTTATAATATTTTATATGCATTGATGGTCAGAAAAGGACTATAGTGTGTCATATATCCCTTTCTGCTTGTGTGTTGGTTGGAAAGTATTTTTTCTAACTGCTATATTTTTATACTCCTCTGTTGATATTAGTTTTGCTGTTGGGATGGGACTTAGCCAACCAGTATATTAATGGAGACAGAGATTCTTTTGTAGAACTCCTCTTCTAAGCACTGGAATAAGCAGTCAGAAAAGAAAAACCAGGAGACACAAATATAACAAGCAGCTGCCTTAGTACAAATTACTTGATGATACGAAACACTACCTTGTCACCTTTTTTATATTAATTTAAGCAGATGATTTGGTGGTAAAGCAACAGCCCAAATGCCCTGAATGCTGAAAAAGGTTGAAACCCCACAGTTCATATCTGCATTCTGGTGGGATGAATTTATGACTTGAGCTAGTCTGGTGGTTTCTGTTTTCTCTTGACATGTATATTCACACACACGTACAGTACGAAATATCAACCAATTTAGCAGCTCTCTTTCTTTTTTTTTTTTTTTTTTAATATGATTGAGCCTTAAATCTTCATCCACTGCTTTCTGCAAATCAAAGAAAAGCACAACGTGGAGGCCAATGGGTTGGCCAAAAGATTTGCATGCCTTAGTTGTTCTGTTGTAATAATTAATGGCTAATGCCCACCTGATGAGTAATCTTAACTTACTGGGTCTTGATTCTGGTCTTGTTTTCATTACTGTTTTTAGCTGCCTTGTTGTTATGGTATCCCAGGGCTTGTGTCCTGTTTGGTGCTTTCTAGGGGTGTCATCTTCCCCACCCTGTGCACTCTTACCTGAAACAAAATCTTCAGGTCTGCAGTCCTGTCTACTTATGCCACCTATCTCAATGATGAGAGCCTCAAAATATGTGTCCTGAGATCTGAGGGAAGGAGGAGTCTGTCCTACAGTGACTGCCTTGGAGTTCTTCTTGTTTTCACCAAGAGTTAAAAATAGTAGTTGAAGCTGGACTTTGACAGCGAGTTAAAAAAGCAACAAATAGCTCTGGACAGGGAGGCAGGTTTTTCTTTTTCCCTTTGCTTCTGCTGGGAGGTTCTGATCCTGCCAAGAGCTCTGCTAGTATGAGGACCTGTCAGAACATTTCTGCTTGCGTTTAGAGTCTTGCTATGCAGATACTTCTGCAGCTGAAAAAGGCCTTTATTAATGCTTTTTCAATCCAGAAGCATTTATCTGTCCAACCTCTAAGAGAAGGGCTGTGATGACTAACAGTTGTCCCACCTATCTCACAGCTGCAATCTGACAAACAGTTGTGATCCAGTGCTGTAGTTGTGTGCTGCAACTGAAATAGTGCAGGCTCATGCCTTGCCTGATCCTAAGAGGCATGCAAGATTTGCCTTCTAGTCCCATAGTGACATATATGTTGTACTATGAGAAACTAAGTTTGTTTTGTTTGGGGTTTTTTTTGTTTGTTTGTTTTTTTCCCCTGAATTAGCCATGTTTCTTGTAACAGAACAATTCGGGAAAGGAGCTTTACAGAGGAAGGCACACCCTATGTCAAGTTACAAGGCAGGGAAAGATTCCTGTTGTCTGGTTCTGATAGCAGGCATCCCAGTCACAAATGTCGATGATCTTAACACCGATCTTGGTCCTTGGATGTTCTTGTTTACAGAAACATGTATTCTATATAGTGTTTTCATCAGGGCTTTCTGCACCTCTTTGTGCTCTTTTTTTTTACCATTGGTGTTTAGGGAAATAGGTTTTGTACAGAAGAGACAAGGCTGTAAAAAGAAAGTCCACAGTGAGGTATGAACCCATTCTTCTTACACAGCACTCACCTCATGAGCTGCTCCTTCATCCTTCCCTGCTATCAACTATCGACCTTAAGCATCTAGGTCTGCAGGTATACATGGAATGGGAATAGGGCAGTGCCTGTTTACACAGTTTTGTCTACTTTGAGCACATGTTTGGGGGAAAACCCCCAAAAATAAATAACTTTGAGGCCTGTGGGTCCATGATGCCTCAGATCCAGCTGTGGACTTCGAGGCCTTTCTAAGGAACCAGTAACTGGTAGCATTTAGGTGTGTAAAGACTCTAGTTCCTCACCAAGACAAGGCATCCTGCTGGCCAGGTAAACATTACAGCCTTAGTGTTTGCTGTAAAATCTGTACTGTGAACTTCCACGTGCAACTACATAATAAAATTCTTGGCTCGGGTCAAGGAAACAAATTCCCAGCCCATGGATTACAAACAGTTCATGCAATTGGGCTTTTAAAAAAAACTTTTAAAGAAGTGCCTTGATACCTACTGCTGTGATAACTATTAATTCAGTTGGCACTAGAACTGGAAAACCTGGACTGAGCCTGTGACTGGGTAATGCTGCCTTGTACCTTACACCAGTGTGTACAAGGCACAATCAGACCCGAAGTGCATGTGGAAGACCAAACAATCTGCGCTTGACAAACCTCTGGGGATAAAACTGCTTCAGGTATTACTGTGCAGTGGCAAATTAAGTGGGAAAACTCACAAGTAGCCTGATGCTTTTGTAAATAAATGATTAGTTTTACATTTAAGCTGTAAACAGTTAACTTTCTCTCCCTGTACCTGAAAGTCCCAGTGACTGTCTGCTGAGGCAGTTCACTGCACGGTGTCTATCCTGCCTTGTACCATGATTATTCATTGAATTTGTTCCCAGATATAAACAGTGCAGCACTTCTGGCTCCTAGTGGTTTTGGGGTGTGTGAAGTGAGGAAGCTTACAAAGACAGCAAGACCAGAGAACATGTCGTGTACTAAATTTCCTCTATTTAAATTTGAACTAATGCTGTCTTTAATAGACTTTGGAGGAACAGACAGTGTTCACAGAAGTCCTGCTGGGAAGATGAAACAATTCTATTGTTTTTCTTCTACTTTTTCAAATTTGCTATCAGAAAGATTATTTGGGGCTTCGCTGCTGCACTATCATCTGAGACTGGAACAATTTTACTTTTCCTTGTGAAGGCAACCAGGAGCTGCAATCATGACTGTTTCATGTTTGGGGTAAAATAAGTGGGACAGACTCAGAGACCAAGTGTCTGCATCCAAGTAACTGGACTAACAAATGAGACAATGAAACTTTACTGGGGATGTGCGGAAAGCAGATGGGTATGCTTGTTTGCTGTTTGCCACAGTTCCTCAGAGTGTGCAGGCAGCCCTTGCAGCTGGATGCCAAGTAAGGAGCTCCACTGCAATCACACATTGAAGGTATTGCATGTTTGTCCTACTCTCAGCTTTCTCCTTCAAGCATTTCCATGAGGTTCAAACAGCTTGTACGTGCCCAGCTAATGTGGTAAATCCTGGCTGGGTTGGGCTGCTTTCCTCTGAAATGCAGAATTGTGTTGCTAATGTAGGCATAGTCCAGAGAGAAGGTTTGTCCCCTCGCAGAATCATAAACACTGCATGTCTATTTATTTATTTATTAAGTGTTTTAGCACCTTTTTACAAGTCTTTAAGCGGTTTGAGATTATAAATTATGCATGTGTAATTGCTTTGTCAGCTACTGCTGCAGCCATTTCTGGGCTAGAACATTGCTATTAATGAAGTAACTATTGCACTTGTCAAAAAGCTGTTTTTTAACAGTTCTTTGGCTTTGAATGATGACATCAGGAAAATTTGGGTACTTAAGATAGCGCTGCTTGAAATTTGGCTAGAAGCCAACATTATGTGGGCATCTGAACAAATCAGCAATAAAGTAATCCATTGCCTGTTTTTAAACTGCGCTGTAAAGATTTTATAAACTGTTAGGTTTTTCTCCTAAGCTGATGAAACAAAATACCACAAGACCCCCAACCTTTGTGGCTAGATGAGTTGAGGTTATCCAGAGCTAAAATTTTGCTTTCATTTTCTTTCTGGGCTTTAGAAGCAACGTCTTTTGCTTGGAGGCTGTATCTCCTCATTTTACTTGCCTTTTTCTCCTTGGATTTTTTCTTTAAAGGCAGTGTAAACCTCCTTCATTCCCAGACAACCTGCTGCCTGTCAAATGGGATGTATTTGGTGCTAGAAACTAGCAAAGACTTGTTTGCCAAGTCTTACTGATCCTTTCCTTTTCACAGCAGGACAACCTGCAGCATTGAAGCAGAGTCAAGGAGCATAGTTTATTACCTGGATCAGTTTTCCTCTGTGAAAACTGCTTCTTTGTTTTCTGAAGTGGCCTATGAGTTGTTGTGGGAGGGAAATGCATAATGAACACCATGACATTTTACTTGTGTTTTCAGTTTTGTAAATAGTAGTTAGAATTCAATGTCTCACATGACTGTACAAGTAAATGCTGGGGGTCAAGTGCTTAGAAAACGTTACTTTTTTTTACTCAGAACAGGATATCTTGGGAACTGGTATGTCTCTGCATTTTCTACATCCTCATGGCAGTGTGTCCAAGTGCCCCAGGATAGGGATGTAGACACACTGTATAGAGTTTGAAGCAGCAGCTTTGAGAGACTGGCATAATGACTGCTTTCTAATGTCCAAGGAAATTCTGTAGGTTTCAAGAAGGCCTTAAATCCCATTTGTTCAGGAGTTCTTATCAAATCTGGATTTGATTCTTTCCACGCCTGATCAATAATGTTTTAAAAAAGTTAGAGTTTATTTCAGATAAAAGCCACGTTGGCTTCCCCGCTGCCTGTCAGTCTGTGATCGTTCCCAGTGCGTAGTGTACAGACATTTTCGCAGACTTGTTCAGAGCCATATTTATCAGCTTTGAAACCACTCCAGCAGCCTAAAGCTTCCAGGGCTTTTGCTCACCAGAGCTGCAGAGTGCAGCACTGCAGCCATGCTTTTGCCAAAGAAGCCTCAGCGTGAAGCCAAGAAGAAAGTGCAAAGCCAAGAATTTTGGAAAGCTATGGGGAAATAATGGATCATTGGACATACCATAGCTTTAGATTTCCTCTTACCGATACAAGTCCAGGTGCTTAGGTGTCCTTTGGACATCCATGCAGACTTAAAGTGCGGAGAATTAACTTCTATTAAGTCTAATATACGAGCTGAGAAAATATTTACTAGGAGCATATTGGGTTCAGTGTCTGCTTTTTGTTCACCACTGATGCGTGGTGTTCCGTCTCTTACATGCCATGTTCAAAAGCTGGATGCAAAATAGTCAAAATATAAACACATTTTCTTAATGGTGAGGGGATTTTAATTAGTCTTTTTCCAGGTTCTTAATATCTCAAGGGAACTTTTTGGTGTGTATGTGTGGTTTTATTTTATTATGCTGTAGCCCAGTGAAGTGGAAGTTTGCTAGTCTGTTTAACTTTTTTGCAAATGTTGTGGTCTTTAGTAAATGTAACAGTTTGACTTTTAAGGATTGGTAAAGATTCCAGAATTGTAAGATCTTACCTGTAAAATAGTCAACAGCTTTGCCTTTTTAGCATGTTAATGGTTTTTATGGACACTTCCTTTTGTATACTGAGTGAATGTATTGTTATAGATTTAATGTTTAATGGACCAATAAAATTTTTCTTACATTTGAAACGGTTGTGATACAGTAAAGTTGCAAAGTCAATTCATTCTAGAAGAAACTTAAAAAATAATCTAAATATATGAGCTATACAGTTACTGAGCCAGTAAAAGTAAATTAATTGATCTTTTTTTCACTAAATTTCAATGTTGTCTAGCAAAAAATGCTGCTCTGGAGATTATTAGTCCTTCAGTGTCCATGTTGTTTTTGTATTCTCTGGTGTGT